CCTGGAAATCTGTTTGCACCTGTTTTATGGATTCCATTTGTTTCCTATGTTGGGATTCCATCATGTTCCTCAGATCCTCTGTTTTTTTATCTGTGTCCTCTCTAGATTTATTAATCATGTCTTTCACTATGAGCACAATCTTTGCTGTTATCTGAGTAATTGTTTCTGATTTCATTTTTCCCAGGTCCTCTTTTGTTGCCAGTTCAGAGAGTCCAAGTGGTTGAGTATCACATTGTTCTATCTTGTTTCCCTTTGGGGTTGCTGTAGGGGATCCAGAAGTCTGTTTTTGAGGCTTGGTTACGTGTCTTCTAATTTCCATGGGGGCGGGGGGGTTGCTTCTGGCCGGGCAGCTCACCTTCTCCACCCTAGGAGTGTGGAATGGTGGTGGGGGAGCTTCCTTCCGGGTGCTGGGACTGGCCCAGCTTCTCTGCCTTCCACTTTAGGCTGTTTACATAGCTTAGTTCTTGTGAATTGTGTTGTAATAAACACATTATCCATATTCTTGGCCCATAGAAACTGGAAGATAATAAATGTGTAGGGCTCTAAGTGGCTGAATTTGTTGGGGAGTAATTTTTATGCAGCAACAGATAAGTAATGCAGGAATCATTTTTAATCTGGGAACCATTAAGCACAAGGAAGGAGAGGGAAAATGTTTTAAAAAGTAGTGAGTCAGTAACTCAAAAAGAACTTGGATAAGAAACACAACTTGTGGGCTGTGGATTTAACTCAGTGGTTTCACCGCCTGCTGCACAAGCGCAAGGACCCGAGTTCGATCCCCAGTACCAAAAAAAGAAAAAAAGAAACACAACTTGCATACCCCAAAGTCCAGTAGTGCTCAAAAGTAGGTTTTAGGATGTACAGACAGACCCAATAATACACAGTTGGACACTTCGCCACTCATTGAATGACTTCTGCAAAAAGTGTCAAAGAAACACAAATATCTATTGATTATCAGGTAAATTATTTCACTTACCTTTAGTATTTTATACTTAAAAGTAGATTCCTATTTTCTTCTAAGATTATTTAATAAAATTTAGTGTTAAGTATTTAATCAATCATCTAAAACCTAAAAGTTATCAGGAAAAATACAGTACTCATTGCTGAAGTGCACTGACCAAGTTATAATTTAATGTTGATACATAAACATTCATATATGGAACTTTTCTGTATCTTTTGCAAAAGCAAACCAACAATACTCATTAAGTTGCCCGTTATCAGGCACAATTTGGCCCATACATTTTCTTTCTTCGTATAATTAAAGCCATACATTTGGGCCAGGGATTTAGCTCAGTGGTGCCACCGCCTGCCTTGCAAGTGCAAGGTCCCGAGTTCGATCCCCAGTACCAAAAAAACAAATAAACAAACAAAAAAATCCATACATTCAATGTGTGAAAGCTCATAGCACAACAGAGCCCACTTAGAATTATTAATACATTCCAGGTGCTGGGTACATGTCTCCTACATGAAACATATAAAAATACATAATCTGTATGGATTTTTGTTTGTTTGTTTGTTTTCTGATGTTGTATGTGTTTTTTCAATGTTTTTAAGCTGCTCCAACCCTTTCTTAAAAACAGCCGTGATAGTGCTACCCATTTATGAGGCATACTGATGAGATTATATGAGCAATTAAACTGTTGAAATGCTTCTATACCAGTTGATAAATAGCTATTGCCAACATGATGTGAGTGCCAACCACCAGGCCACCAACTCTCATAAGACTCTTTCCCCACTTGCTCCCAGTTTAGCAACTAAAAGATAATTCTGGCACATCTGGGGGCTTCCAGCCCTTACCCTCCATCACCAATTCCCACCCAAGTACCATCCATTGTGACTGGACCAAGGCCATTCTAGTACAACCTTCAGATACAAATGGTAGATAAACTATCCCCATCCAGTATATTCTTTCACTGGATGTGAGCCAGGACCTCCAAAATTCTGCATTAATATGTTAGTTGATTCAATGAAAAATGGTCATCATAAAGGAGGAGATAAACCTGATCTCAGAGTGTTTATTGAGAAGCACTCAGAGACTGAGCAAATGGTTTGGAGTTTGAGTCTATGGTAGAAAGACCCCAAATAACCACCCACCAAATGATGCCAGAGAAAGTCCTGATTACATATCTTTACTGCTTCATGGTTCTACCGGTGGCCAGCCCAGTTGATTCCCTCCTGAGTGAAGAGAAGGCAAGAAGGTGACCTAATGAGGATTGAGAAGAGAAATCACCATTTTGGAGAGTAGAGGAGTGAACAAACTTTCGAATATAGGGAGATTATTGAGTAGCCTCAGGGCCTATATAAGGATTGTGCTCATGAATGTAAAGTGGGACTTATCAACATGATTGTGGGATTTTCCTTTGTGTCTCAGCAATCTACATCTCCTCAGATGCAGGCAAAAGGAAGGCAGAAAGAACCTTGGGTAAGTTTGGTCAGCCAGCATATTCTACAGAAAAAGAGAAGAGAAAAGGAGCTAAATACATTTAAAGGAGCAATGTCAATGATTAGTCAACTTTCTCATCACTGTGACACAATACCCAGCACCCACAGCTAAAAGGAGAACAGGTTTAATTTGCTCATGGTTTCAGTCCATGAACAGCTGGCTGAAAGGCAGAAACATCATGGCAGAAGGGTGTAGCAGAGCAAGGCTGCTTAATTCATGGTTGCCAAGAAGCAGAAGAAAGAAAAAGGAGCAAGAGGCAAGGGAGCAGATATAGACCCTAAGGCCACATCTCTATGACCCACCCAGACATACTTAACTAGTGTTTTACTAATGCTTTATTAATCTGCTAGGTGTTTCTTAATCCAATCAAGTTGGTATATCAGGGTTAATGTCACAATAGTGAATCTTGGAATCTTAGTGGAAAAAATTATTCTGAGGGCATTATATAAACCCAACACCAAGAATTCTGATCCAGTTCTATTGACTTGGAAATCCATGCTTCTTTCTTCATGATGATGCTTTTTAAACTTGACACAGCATAAAAATTATCTAAGAATTGTCATGAGTGCTGATATCTGGGCTGTCCTCAGAAATTCTGGGACACAGCACTTTTTTGTAATAAGTAAACAGAATGCTGATTGGAGGGGGAGTCTGTGAACCAGTCTATAAAAAAAAAATTGTGTTGTAGGTGTTTTTTGTGAAAATGTTTGAGAGTGGGAGTAAGCAGGTACATACTGTGTTACCCAGATAGCTGTTTCCACTCTCCACACCATGAAATGATGGTATTCCAAGTATGATGGGTGTCTCAATCAAATAACGTAACTAAAAGTGAGCTCCCATGGTGAGTGATGCTGAAATGGGTGAGCTAATAAATTCAACAAATTTATTTTTTCACTTCCCCTAGGTTCCTTGGAACACACAGATAAAAGGGTGCAATTCAGTTTAGAAGATGACTTCAGCATGGCATTATGTCCCAAGCATCCGTTTTCCAGAAAGCCAAAGAACTGTGTTCTGTTGGGAGAAAAAACATATACATTCTAAGAGATACAATCACTTCTCAAATGTGTTAGATATAACAAACTTAATTATATGAATGAAACGATTTAATGTGTGGTTTAAGTGATGGGAGATGGCATAAACGCTGACAAGGCACTTCTCTCCAAGAGAGAAAATAGAAAGTTTTATGAACTCTGACACTCAAGATTTAATAAAAAGTTATCAGCTCTTTATTTATCCTCGAGTGTACCAACTGCTGCAACTCCCTGAAGACCATAAGAAAGAGGAGACTAAAATATATATTAACAAAGTTCTGATTTTTTAAAAACCCTTTTCTAGTATTTTTCTACTGATTTGTATGAACTTATTGTCCTTTGTCAATTTTAGTATTTAACATCTCACCAGGGTTCTGCTACCTTTTGGACAATAACAATTTATTCAGTGCACTTCTAAGTATTTGTAGTTATAATGCTAATAATGTTATTGATTGAGAACTTATTTCACATCATGTGTAATGTTTCTAATAATCAAACCAATCCTATGAAGTGGGTATTATTTATCAGTTATTTCTTTTTCCTCCTCTAGCAGGTCACTTCTCAGATATATCTCTTCTTAGCTCTATCTACACTCAACTGTCCTCTCTCTGCTGCCAACGTAGTTTTGTCATCATTCTTGGAAGGTTTTTAAACCTAGAGCCAATAATAGCTTCAGCTAGTTCCTCCTTCCTACCAACAAAGATACCTACAGCCTAAACCCAAAAAGGCTCATGTTTAGTTCTAAATGGTAGCCATTATATTCTCTTTAACCTCACATAAATATATCATCTTCCCTAAAATAATTTGCTGTATTGAATACTTTAAAGAATAGTTTTCAGATGAGGCATTGATGAAGGAAGATAAAAAAATGTTAAGAGACCTATAAACAATTACTACAACCATAAATTCTTTATAATTTTAGACAAAAAGTTGTTCAGTATTAGATTCAGTATTATTATTCAAGCTTAACTCAGAAGTAAACAAGATGGTATAATTCACCTTGACATTCATTGAGTGAAACCACAACCCTGAGTTTTAAGGAAAAAAAAAAATAGGGAAGGAAAATGTTGATGTTAGCTAACCTTGCTTTGACTGATTGTTGCTCCCTGTTAGCCCTCTTTTTAAAACTCCAGTGGCCAAATACAGTCATTATACAATAAAAGTGCTGATTGTGGTGAGGAGCAAGTGGAAGTCCTCACTGGACATTCCAGGGTTCACTTACCCTTGAAACATTTGGGGATTTCAATGGTGCCATCTACACACTGAGCCTCCTCTGTGTAGCTACACTTCTTTTCCTTATTTTTGCAGAAGAAAGACACTTTGTCACCATGTAGCATTCCATTCTTAAATCTTTCCTGGAGCTTTACTCTCTCTCCTTGGTATAGCACAGTGGCTTTTTTAACAGATAATTTACAAGACGCTGAAAAAGAGAATATCTGTGGTCAAGTCTTAAGAGTCCAGTGAATCTTTCTTAAATAGAATATGGGGGGGGTGCTTTTTGTTTGCTTTTTGTTTTTTGGTAATGGGCCATTGTGCATGCTATCATGTGTCCCCAAAAATAAGACCTAACCAGAAAATAAGCCCCAGTTAAGACTGTCAGCCAGATGGATGCATTAGTAGCAACACATCACAGAAATATTGAATTATAAAATAATATTAATATATAGTTAAATAGAAAAAATAATATTATTGACATTAATACTTAAGATAAGTGATAATAAAATTATAATTAAGTACTTGCAAATATCCAAGTGGGCACCTTTTGACAAGAGATAAACATCTGTGTAAACTGATGAACTTGAGACTTATTGCCGAATAACCAATTGAAGTATGGACACAATGCACAAATAATGTGCACATCTTATAATGAAAGGATGTGGTTTTGCCTAATATGAATCTTCATAATCCAATACAACATGTGTTGTAATGGACATATTTCAAGCACTTATGTGAAGTAAACATTTTCTAAATTTTGGTGCCCAAAAGTTTTCATTGCTTTGTATGAACCATCATTCTTAACTGCCATCATTTTTGTTGCCACGCCTGTCTTGTAAGTCTTCAATTAACACTTGATTTAATGGAACCTGTGTGAAGCCTCATCTGCAAGAGGTCATGACTTGGGTGAAGAATTCAAGGGATAAAATGTGTTGTGTTGCCAGTGCCCTATGAGCAGACTACCTGGACAAGAGGTGCTTGCTTAAGGGGAGCTTTATTGCTGGACATAAGAGATTGGAGACAATGGTTCTACAGGAAATGGAATCACAAGAAATTCAGGCCAGAACTTGGGTTTTAGAGAATCATGACAATGTTCCAGAAAAAGATGACATGTCTATATTTGAAAAAATGTAGATTTTTGTACATGAAGAAATGTAGATTGTTATATATGGATAAATGTAGATTGTTGAATATAAAAAATAAAGCATTCCCTGAAAATAAGCCCTATTGCATATTTTGGAGCAAAAATTAGTAAGAGTCAGTCTTATTTGGGGGAAAATACAGTAGGTAAACACACTACCATTGAGTTACATTCCCAGCCTTTTTTCTTATTTTGAGACAGAATTCCACTAACTTTCCCAGCCTAACCTTGAACTTGCACTCCTTTTGGCTCAGCCTCCCAAGTACCTTGGATTACATGAATGTGCCACCATGCCCAGCTTTAGAATATAACTTTTGAGGCAGTAGATGAGTATATCTAAAGCAAACTAAGCAAGACAAGAGGATTCTGAAAATGTACACAGTGAGTAATGTCAATGTGATTGCTAATAGCTGTTCTTTATCACCAGAACTATTACTCATTCTGAAGTGGCCTTTTATGGGGGGGGGGACCAGGGATTGAACTCAGGACCTTGCGCTTGCAAGGCAGGTGCCTGGAACTACTGAGCTAAATCCCTGGCCCTAAAGTGGCCTTTTCTTTCCCTACAGCAACCGCACAAGGTCAGAGCAGAAACATCACATTCTCAGCTTCAGTGAAAATGAAATTTGTTCCTGTAAGTTTTTGTGTGGATGCACCAGCTCATTTGAAGGTGGAAGCCCCAACCTTCACTGCCAGAACCAGGCAAGGGAGCAACCCACAGCTAATGACGGACTGGTAAAGGGATACAAGCAGATCACCTTGTCTCTTGCTGGGATCAACTCTTGGAGAGAATTACTGCTCCAGAACTACTAGTAGGATGAAAGTGAAGCCTTATGGTAGTTGAGACCACATCCTTGTTTAAAACATTGCAACATTCATATCACCTGGGAATTAGGTTCAAATGCAAATTCCCAGGAGCCATTCCAGATCTACAGAATCAAAAACTCTGAGGGTAGAGCCCAGAAGACTGTTTAAAGAAGGCTTCTAGGGGATTCAGATACACAGTAAAGTTGGAGCACCCATGTCTCTTGCTACACATTCTGAGACAATAAATCAATTGCACTTCAATGCTTGTCTCAGACTTGCCTTCTAGGGGATTCCAGCCTAAGACGCTAGTCATCCCTCATTTTGCCGGATTTGCCCAAGTTTTTCTTTTTTTAAACTGTCTAGCCCACAGAAGCTTGAGCAGAGAGACAGTGGTACATTGCTATTCTTTGCATAAACATGACACTGACTGGATCAAGAAGAGACCCCTGACTCAGGAGCACCCAGGATCTTAGGGAAAAGATGCCAGCTGATAGCAAATCCTTTAGCTGAGAAGTCCTGGTATAGAGTCAAACCTAAATCAAGTAAGAAGAGAGATACAGATATGGGAGAACACATTGAGATATGGGAAGAGTAGCAATAGTTCCTGACTTTCAGTTTCAGTCTTCAGAAGTATCCGTTTCATTTTATTTCCTCATCTGCATATGTCCTTTTGATAAACAAGCTCTCATTTCCTTTAGCTAGCTTGAATAGGTGACTGGCTTTTGCAACAAGAACCTTGACTAGACAGAGCAAAAATGTATGCTCATGGGCAAAGATTTAAAAACAAAGTTAGGAAGCCTCAAGTATTGTGCACCATGTTATTAAGGCTTATAAAGAATCTGTTTATTTCCTACAGCTGAATCTCAAGCAAGCTTCCTAAGCATGAGGCTTCGCCATGTACACATGAGTCCTAAAGTCTTCCACATACCAGTAGTTATGCAGTAAGTCAAGCAATGAATAGAAAATGAATAAAACAAGAAAATGTTGGGTAGAGATGATTCACTAAATAAATTCAGAAACCTTGTAAGATTTCACCCCAGTTTCCATACCTTTGCAACTTGGCTGGGCAGACCAATTTCCCAGTTTGGTACATTCAACTTCTTCCGGGCCATCCAGGTTATATGTATCATGGCAACCATATGTGGCTTTATCCTTATAAAGAAGAACTTGTTTTGCAGGATAGTTTACAAATCCATTTTCTGGTCTTGATGGGAATGGGCATTTTACTTCTAAAAAGTTTATTAAATAAGACGTATTAGTAATAAATAGGGTTGGGTCAACACTATTCTGGGTGTTTCAGTGACTAAAATGCAATTTCTAGGTACTTTGTGCTGAATTATGTCCTCATTCTCATATTTATAGGACTGGGTTTTTAAAACAAGAAACAATAACAGTTTGAAAGTAATGATATTCTACTAAGTTCTTTGGGTTTTCACATATAATTATAACTTACTTATTGCAAATTTATTTATTATTTATTGCAATTTTCCACATAGTCTAAGATGATGAGTTTGAAAGCAGAGGGGAAAATCTTTTCTTCAATCAACATACTATGAAATTAAAACACAAAGACTGTACCCCTCATGCATATTTAGCATACCATTATTTGGTTTTGAAATATTAAGCCAATATTAAGTTATTCTTGTCTTCAGACAATGCATGAAGGCAACATGAAATGTGAGAAAAACAGTGACCTAGGTGCAAGAAAACAAGTGACCAATAGTTCTAGTGACTTCAGTGCAAGCACACAAGGCTACAGCTAGGAGTACGGTATTCTTGGATAGTAATTTGATGAGGTAGCTAAGATTACAGACTCCAAAAGCTGACTGTTAGGCTCAATTTTGGCTCTGTCACGCAGTGAATAAAAAAGCACTATAACACTGTTAAAAATATAATGGATGTAGGGAAAGTTCCTTCTTTTTTTTGTACCGGGGATCAAACTCAGGACCTTGCAGAAAGTTCCTTTCTATAGAGGTTAGCCAGCTAATAAATGTAAAAGGAAAAAGAGAAAGTAACCATTTTTCAACCACCACTGTTATATTTGATAGAGCTAAGGATTATCAATGAATTCTAAAATGCCTGCTAGAGATCAGATATTCACATGTGCCAATAGTCTCAAAGTATCACCCACAGGTTGCTTACTGATTCCAAAGAAAAAGGGTGCCTTAACCAAAAGGTTATCTGGCACAGTCTGCTTGACCAAGGGATCGCACTAAGCATGAACATTGAGGGACCAACTAATACTATGTGCTTCCTGATGTTACAGAAGTATTCTTGATGAAAATATTTAGCTTGAATCTAATCATGGGCAGATACCCAAACAAATTCAGATTATGGAATATTCTATAAGCCAATAGCCTATGCTCTTCAAAAAATGTCAATGGAAGATAACAAAAGAGGCAGTGAGGGCTGGGGATTTAGCTCAGTGGTTCTGCTGCCTGCCTCGCAAGCACAAGGTCCCGAGTTCGATCCCCAATACCAAAAAAAAAAAAAAAACAACTAAAGAAACTTGATAACTAAATGGAAGGTGTGATTCTTAATTAGATCTTGCATAAAACAAAACACGTGTAAAGAATACTTTTGGATCAATTGGAAAACTGAATCTGAAGTAAATTTTTAATTTTTATTGATTGCATATATTTTATTTTTATTTATACTATTATTGTTAATAATTCAAAATATGCTAAATGGCTTGGGAACAGTGACAGTTTAGAATGTCCTTGTTCTTTGTTTATTCATCCTGGCATGCTTATGGGTAACTGATCTATACAATTCATTTTCAGATGATTCAGGGAAAATGAAGGATTTGTCTATGGAGAAAGAGAGAGATAATGTCCACATTGTTAACACCTATATTCGGATGAAGTGTTGAAACAAAAGTAAAAACATCCTACTGCTTAAGATTTGGGAGAATTAAGAGAGATGACATGTACATAGCAGGAAGCCAGTGGCTGGGCCACCGTGGTGTTAGTTATTGTTACTGGTTATTCTCCTGTGCTAAAATTTACTTATGTTTTGAATCACTGGGTACATACCCATAATATCTACAGCTGGAGAAGTTAATAGCCCTCAGACTAACTCCTTGCATACATGATCCATTCTATAATTTATCTATTTGTTGTGTGGCTGACAAATTCAAAGATAGTGGTGACAGATCAAGTTAAAGGGAGAAGAATTTTCATACTTTTTAAAAGAAAATGAAGTGTTTCTGCAATTTTAAAATTTACATAAAGATTGCATGGACATAACAATTGGACAGCAACTCAGTTTTTAATCTTCATTTCCTAATCCAGGCTTCTCTTCACCAACCTCACAAAAGCAGTCAGCTCTCTATGGATATACCCTGTCCTTTCATGCCTCTCTGACTTGGCATTAGCTGTGCCCCTATGTGGCACGCCTGGCCTTCATTCTCCACTCCTCCTCCAAGGCCCATTTCAAGGACCACTGCTTCTTGGAGCCTTCCCCCAGGCAGCTCCAAACAGTAAATTGCAAGATATTTAATTAGCTTTGGGTCAGAAGCAGATTTGATTCAGTTGATATCCCCAATCCCTAGCACACTGCCTGGTATATGGTAGATACTCAAACATTTGTTGAATGAGGTAATTGAAGTACCGCAGGATAGTTAAAATTTTCTAACAGTTTTACAAAATGGGATTCCACATTCCCATAATTGTTTTGCTATCTCATTCACTTACCCCTGCATTCTGGTAATTCAGTCCAATTCCCATGGGCTGTGCAGGCAATTGTATCATTTCCAAACATCGCATGATGTGGCAAACATTTAAAGACTGCTCTATCCCGGTAGAGGGAGTTGTTTCTAGCTGATGGCTTATATATTCTGAGTGTTGCAAATTTAGGTACTGGTGGTGGAGGGCAGGTTATGGCTAGAAAAAGAAAGAACTATCATTTCTATTAGAATAGGTGTGGTTTTAAAATATACTCTTTCCAGAAAAAAAAAAGGTCCAAAAAGCAAACGAGAAAATTGCAAAATTTGATCCAACAACAGGGTAAAAACAGTCAATTATAGAAGTGAAATAAGAAAATGTGCTACACAAATTAGATGTTCCAACCGATTACAAAGACTAAAACGAAGGAAAAAATTAAGTCTTGCCACTGCAAATTTGCCTTTTACAACAACTTGGTTAGATTTCCATAAAATTTTTGTTCTAAATGCTACCTTGGAAGATGTTTCTGGAGACAGAATTTGTGGAGGACATTGCTGAAGGACCATCCTGAAATAATGGCTAGGGACAGCACTTAGTACCAAGTTGTCTGTGACACCCAAGTTCCATTGGTAGTTCAGTTTGTTGGTTCAATCTGTTAAATATCTCCTGCTTTTGAATTCTGCATGTACAGGGCTTATATATGTAGCTTCAATCACCCAGAGACATAGGAGTGGCCCATCACCCAGCCCGGACCAATATGGAGTATCAGCAAGTACAGGGAAAGTCATAGTACTAACATAAAGGATAGGGCAGTCCAAACCATGACTTAACTTGAATTCTCTCAATCCTTGCTTTTCAAAGTATGATCCATGGCCCACCAGCCTGTTGCTGAGGACCATGTTACAAATGCAGAAACTTTAACCCTACCCTAGATGTGTAACTCAGAATCTACACTTTAACAGGGTGCCTAGGAGATTCATGTATACATTAATGTAAGAGAAGTGCTCATTCAGATTAGATTGAAGCTAAGGTGCCTTTTCTATTTGCAATTAAAAAGAAAAAGTGACTTTACACATTTGGTATAAAGCTGCTTAAGAAGGGAAACTATAGGAACCATAAGGATTTCTTCTGCTGAGTGAAAAACTCAATTTATCATTAAAAAACTTTTTTCTTTTGTCAGTGAGTGTTTGTTGAATTGGGATTCATATGGAACTGCTTTATTTTCACTTGTTTTTTCTAGGACAGATCTCCCTGAAAACCTGAAGAACCATAGCTATTATTCTGATGCTTAGGTCTTCTGGCCAAAATTGGACTTATGTAAATCACAAGTCAGAAAATATGAAAATACCCTCCCTAGAGAAGCAAAGCCCAGAACTGCCCCTGGCTGTTCAGAAGGTGAGCATAACCAGAACAAGCCATCAGTAACTTTTGGAGGAATCTCAGTAAGCTCTTAGGTGTAAGGTGCTTAGATAGGCTTTTAGCTTACTGTAAATATTATTTTTGTTTTTGTTGGTTGCTTGGTTTTTTATGTTATATTATTTGTCTCACTCTCTTGGAAAGAGGTGTCACCTCTGACCTGTAACAGTGCTGAGAGCACAATCTGGCATATCCTCGATTCGCAATTCACACTTATTCAAGATGTGAATGAATGAATGAATGAATGAGGATCCAGAGTGTAAGGAAGAGGTTTAACCTTATTGTTTGCTGGTCTCCTGGTCAAGCAGTAGCAGCCTCTGAGAGACCAATGCCACACATATCCAAGCCTTTGCCAAAACATTGTAGGAGCTTTGAAGTTAACCCAACAATTACTGGCTCCACCAGGTGGAAGATAAAAAAATGCATTCAGGAGTAAAATGTTTCCCTCTGCCACTCCAGTGTGGGTTGTTCCATCTTCCAAAGCAGGACAATATTAGAATGGATGTTCCCCATAAGCGTGGTCAACCATTTTATTGAGTCAGGACTGAGGGGTTTCTGGAATGTAGGACTGTCCATGCTAAACCCAAAAGAGTTCTAGACAGACCAACTGGCCATCCTACCCAAAGGAGGGACCAATAGACTCACGAGCACAGACAGGAAGCTCTGGGCTCCATTTTCCTTCCTCAGTGCACTGAGCTGAATTAGTTCCATTCAGATAATATCTGCAAAAGAAAAATTTCATCTATCAACCTGTAAAATAAACAATTGTCGGTGGTGCAAATGTACTGGGGATTGAACCCCAGGGCTTGTGCCTGCTAAGCATGAGCTCTCCCACTGAGCTGCAGCCCCGCCCCATGGCCTCAAACTCCTGAGCTCAAGCATCCTCCCACCTCAGTTGCCCAGTAACAGAGTTCCACCACACCTAGCAATACTATTGACTACTTTCCCATCTTAGGGTGCTATTTTCCTGAGGATCCTAACACTCATCTTAGGACCTAGAGAGTGCCCCAGCTAATGCCCCAGGTTTCCATTGGAGGTTTCTACAGCTGGTGAGTGTAAGAGCTGTACCCCTAAATCCTTCATTTCAAACCAGTTAACCAAGTTAGCTGCTTCTTACATACAGCAAAGAACCGTCTCTTTCAGGGTGACAGAAGTGACTCAAACTGAGTTACCTCTACTCTAATGATCTTAGTGCCTACTGACACAGATGTGTAAAAACAAAAAATGAAGTCTATTTCCAATGAAAATGTAACACACACAAACAAAAGAAAATGTAACATTATGTCATTGAAGCCAATTTATTAAAGGTCATTTGTCATCATATCTACCAGTAAACTGATGTTTCTGAAGAGAGAACTGTTTTTCTTTCTCACATATAGTGTTTCTTAGTTTCCAATCCCAAACAAGAATCCTTGATAAAGTTGTGGTCCAGTGTACAGCCAACGTGCTATGACAATGTCACAGTGGCTTTTTTCTCCTTAGGCAGATGAGTTATATGACTAACCATAAAAGCTTTCTTCCTGGGGATGTTGGGCTGCATTAAGCAAGTATTAAGAGAAGTATGTTCTACATCATCACACTCATGGTTCTCTATAGAATTCTGGAGACTACCAGGTTGGTTAACATCAGCCTCATAATTAAAATACAAGCCTTAGTCCAATATATTTAACCTTATCTCAAGATATCACCCAGAGAATATAATGAATTATCATTCAGTTTCAATCATTTCAATGTACCTCCTCAGATAAGTAGATAATCTGGAGCAGAAAAATGAGATGAAATGCAGATTTCAATTATATTAGTTGTTATTTTCTACACTCCTTACCCCACCTTCAACACCATTGTAGAATATATGATTTGTATTTAGCAAGACAAACCTAAAGCCTAGAAATATAATATGGACAAGTCTTGATGTTTAGTTTAAGGCCACAGAATTATACTGTCTGTCGGCTCCTTAGTCTCATGAAATTCCTTACCCAGAGTTACAAGCAAAACTGATCGTGTTGGGATATTCAAAAGTTGTGTAGCGTACAGCTCCATTGTCTAAGATTCCAGCAAAAGGACACACTCTGGCTGTGATTCAAAGAGAAAAAGGTAAATTTCTATTTGTAGAACTTTCCATTAAAATAAATATATATATAAACTCATTTCCATCCTTTGATCCAATAACCTAGTAGCTATTCTAAAAAAGACATTTAAAATAAGGTAAATGATATAGGCACCAAGGTGTTCAAGACACTGGTGCTGCTAATAACAGAATTTGGACAGTCTAAATATTCCCTCTCAGGGGACTGCATTTTAATCAGTCAACAGTTGAACTACTAAGCAGCCAATGAAATATGAATTGTGAAAACTATAAAGACAGTAAATTTTTATGTTAAGTTGCTGAAAATAGAAAAATATAAAATTGTGCATACTTTATGCAATGATGCAAAAATTTACACATGGAAAGTAAAATTGTTCATATTCCAGAGGTACTGATTTAAAGCAAAATAATGAACCATAATGATGTTTCACTGATTTTTTTTTTTGAGACAGGGTCTCCCTTTCCAGTTCATGCTATCCTTGAGCTCACAGTGATCCTCCTGCCTCAGCCTCCTGAGTGTTGGGACTACAGGTATGCACCACCATGCCCAACTGCTTCAGTGTTTTTTTAAATTAAGAATTATATTTAGGAGCTTAAAAATTACATTTAGAACTCAGTGGTAGAGCACGTGGTTAGCATGAGTGAGGCCTTGGATTAACAGTTTCGATTTTCTTAATAAAAAAACATACTAGAATCACTTGCATGAGCACATATAGTTATGACAATGGTCATGTCTATGTGGTCAAAATAATTAGAGCTCAAATAGCTCCATATAGCTATTTTACTGCTTAACCTTTGCATATGATTGTCATAAATACAGTAGTTGATTACTTAACATTTGACTTTTTAAATCTTTTTAATTTATTTTAATGTAATAGAAGTAGATATTAATAAAGAAAATATAAAAACACTTCTTGAAAAAATAAAATTTCATAACAAAATAATTAGAGAATAACAATGGTAAGTATACTGTGTATCATGATCTTAAAAGAATATACTTTCAATTGCTAATCTATCTCTGAGCTCATCTTCTAAGAAAACTATACCTTTTTTGTATAAAACATTTTAATTATTGACAAAGTATCTGATGCTTGGTATTATTTTGAACAGTTTCTTCCTATTTCACAATATCTATAATACCTTTTTGTCCTTATTTACACCTTCAGTTTCTCACACCAGAGAGGCAATGAGATATTTACACATATGTTTGATTTACTTCACTTAAGAGTATGGGCTAAAGGTGCATCCATTTATCTACAAATGTCTCAAGTTTATCCTTCTTTATGGCTAAGTAATACATCATTACACAGAAAAACCGTGTCTTTTTTATTCATTCATTGGTTGATGGGCATTTGGGTTGTTTACAAGATTTAGCTATTACAAACTGTGTTGCTATAAACACCGGTGTGCATATATTGCTGTGGTATGATGCTTTTAATTCTTTTAGGAAGATAACCAGAAGAGAAATAGCTGGGTCAAATGGGATTTCTAATCCCAGTTTTTTGAGGAATCTCTACACTGATTTCCACAGTGGTTGCACCAGTCTGCACTCCCACCAACAGTGGAGAAGGGTTCCTTTCTCCCAACGGCCCTACCAACATTTTTTGGTTGATTGTTTTTGGTTGATTTCTTGATATTAGCCATTTTTTTCTGGAGTGCAATGATATCTCAGTGTTGTTTTAATTTGCATCTCTCGAGTGACTAGTGTGTTGAACATTTTTTCATATATTTATTTGCTGTTTGTACTTCTTCATCTGAGAAGTGACTATTCATTTTAGATGACCATTTTTGGATTGAGTCTCTAAATTTGGGGGGGTCTGATTTTTTTTCAATTCTTTGTATGTTGTAGATATTAGTCCTCTGTCTGAAGAACATCTGACTGAAATTTTTTCCCACTCGTTGAATTGTCTTTTCAATTTGTTGGTGATTTCTTTTGCTGTGCAAAACCTTTTTTTTTTTTTTTTTTTGGTACCGGGGATCAAACTTGGGTACTTGAGTTTGTGCAGCAGGCGGCGAAACCACTGAGCTAAATCCCCGGCCCCTGTGCAAAAGCTTTTTAATAAGATGAGATCCCTTTTAACATTTGTCTTTGAAAAGTAAGGCCATTATGGCCGGGGATTTAGCTCAGTGGTTTCGCCGCCTCCCTCGCAAGCTCAAGGACCCTAGTTCGATCCCTGATAACAAAAAAAACTTAAAAAAAAAAAACCAGAAAAAGAAAAGTAAGGTATGTTCTCAGGAATAAATAAAAGAAACCATTTACAATAAAATTATAACGAGTTATATAATTTATATTATTAAATATATATTTATATTTTAGTGTAAATATATAAAGTGCATAATTTAGCTGAAATTCATATTCATTTTATTCAGTAACTATTAAATCTTCTTTCATTTTGAAATAAAGTCTGAAGATAGGATAATTCCCCAAGTTTTGTTTGTTCAAGAGCCTTTTTGGTGTCAGTTTTATGTTTCAGAGTCTTTCTACTTGTCTTTTAGCATATATATATATATATATAAAATTTTTTTGTACCGGGAATCGAACTCAGGACCTTGTGGTTGCGAGGCAGCCGCCAGAACCACTGAGCTAAATCCCCGGCCCCAGAGCTCCTTTTTTTAACCTCCCTTAGCTCAGGCTTTCTTCTTAGAGAAGTCTAAGTACACCTATTGCCTCTACTCTCCTCTCCCATGGAGTACCTCCCACAACCCCTGTCCCTCCACAGTCCTCCATGGTGCAGCCCTGCTAGACCTCTGCACCCTGATCATGGCAGGGTACGTTATGCCTCTCAAAATATTCAGAACCCAGTTTCGGGGAGAGAATATGAGAGAAGGCAGTGACTTACGTGTACATTTCAGAGTATTTAAGGGCCAGATTCCTGTGAAAGGACAGGTCAACCTTCTCATCCCTCCCTGGGACAAATAGCCTGGCTTGCAGAAGTACACTATCTGCTCCCCAGGGTCATAGGATGTTTTTAATGGAGTAACCGTGGAAAATGGCACATCATCTGGCTGGGGACAAGCTGAAATAGAAAGCAGGTAGTTAAGAAATCTCTATTCACAATTTTAAATCCATAAATGAAAAGTATTTATTGCTACCAATAATAAGTATAACAAATCAAAATCCACAACAAATATTTCATATGCAGTATTTCATCTAATTCCCTCAACAACCGTTTGAAGTAGTACTACTACTATTATTCCCATATTACAAGTCAACATACTGAGGCTTAAATTGGCCAAAAATCTTACGGAGGAGCTACAGGCATGACAATATTAAAAAACAAGTATCAGGGGTTGAAGGGAGGGCAGGGGAAGGGGGAAAAATAAGAACCAAGAGAGACTATGTAAAAGTGCAAATTTCCAATGATGAATGTCATTATGTTGTATACCTAAAATGTACCAATAAAATAAAAATTTTTAAAAAGAGCATCAATTCAATCTGTCCAGTATCCACCCTGAATTTAAAGTTATCACTATTGATTTCTGACATATACTAGGGGGTTGGCTATATTAATTATTTTTCAAAAGCAAAAATTACTTACTCTGTCCTGCAATAGCAACATGGCAGAGAAAACCTGAGAGCAAGACAAGCACTGGAGAAGTCATTGTGAATGATTCACACTGGCCCCTCCGGGTTGGTTTTCCTCTGCTCAAAAAGAAAGTTGCTAATATCAAAGTGCTTAAACATTAAACCACTTTTTGAGTGTACTTTTATCTTTGTAAATAGAAGATAAAATGTCATAATTGAAAGGAACTTTGAGACGTACATTCTTTAATCATTTACTCCACTTGTGTGAGTCTATTGTGAAATCTGCTAGGTGTTTCTTCTTTTCATCTTCTTCGATGGATGACATTTTTCTTAATGGCACAAAACGGTTCATTACTACATTCCACAGAAGCCTGATAATCGCTGGATCAGCTGACTTCTCACTCTCTATCTTTTGCTGTGTGTATGTTGTACTTGGATCACCAGAAGATTGAAGCCCATGTTTTACCCACACCCTTATTATATAAACTCAGGGCAGTCACTTACTCTCTGTGCTTCCTTTTCTACAGTTCCAAAATGGTGCTACAATTCCAAATTATATAATTCTAAAGACTATCTTTAAAGAGGTACCTACCACCTTATTGCCCCAAACACATACTTGACATCTTTTCTCACAAATTCTTCCCATTTCCCTTTCATCTTCACTTAGTAACTAGATTCCCCTAGTAGCTCTAGTTGTGACTTTAGAGCTGTCTTTGAATCCTCACTATTCTCTGTCATATGAACACAAATTAATGATCATCCATTCATACTATATCTTAGATCTGTCTAGACAGATTTCTGGATCTGTGTTTAGGAATTAGAAACTTGACTCAAAGAAGAAAAGAATTTGAGCAGGAAGAGAGACAATGTGCCAACAGTAATAATGTCACTTGGGAGGACCCTGAGGGGGACATCCAGGCATCCACACTTGTGTATCTAATGCATCACCTCCCCCCAAGAGACTAAATATACAAATTGATAAGGATGAACTATACAGGAAAATAGCAAAACCACAAAATCCAAAATCTCAATAACAATCAGCCTAGAGAGCCAAACCACAACCTCCACAACAACTGGCCCAACAAGAGAAAGCTAAACATGTTCCTAACCAATCACAAAGGATGTGCCACATTTATAAACCCACCTTCATCTTTCCCATATCAACCACCAATCAGGGCATATTTGAATCCTTCTCTTTTTTTCTATTGTAATATTTTCTCTGCCTTATTTTGAGTCTCTGCCAAACACAAGTAATGTGAGCTGATTGCCTTGCTATGGCAAGCTTTGAATAAATAACTTCTGCTTGTTCTTATTTGGGTGGTCTTGATTTATATCCACAGGTCTTAGGTTCCTTGAGACACAGCACTTGAGAAATGCTCATATCAGGCAGTGATTCTTAAACTGTGCTTCTAATGAGCACTGTGTTCAATGATAAGAAGAAAAGTGTATTATCATCAAGATAAAATAACAACAATCCTTCTTTTGTCCTTCTAACAAGAAAGATTTTCATTGGCTGGATAATTTCCAGGTTCTACTTGAATGTTCTCCATGGGTGGAGAAGAGAGAAAACTAATGAAGTCAAGAGAGACCAAGTTGTTCTACATAATGATAATCTAAGGTTGATGGCAAAAGAAGCTGGAGCTCAGGAAAAGAAAATTTGAAAAGAGAGTGTTGAAATTGAAAAGAGAGTATTTCTTTCAGAAGCTATAGACTGAGTGATCAACATTAAGAGGAGCTGTGACAGAAAGAAGGTTATTTAATGACGTTTGCTAATAGCTGTAATTCCTTGCATGAAGGAATCTCTTGGGAGGGAAAATGTTCTATAACTTATTTTAAGTTTTACTTGGATATTTGCAGTCGTCAAAACTCGTCAAACTAAACATTTAAGACCTATATGTTAACTTAATTATATCTCAATTGAAAAACATTCCTTCCACAGTGATAGCAATAAACAGATGAACAAATATATGGAGAGATAAGAAAGTTTTCCCTTCTACTAGGCTGCCAACTAGATAGTTGGAATAATGGAATTATTAATTTTAAATTTTGAAATTATCATAGAAATATTTAATTCTGGTAAGAAATATCAATAGACGATAAAACCAGAGAGTGCACATAGAATGAGAAATGAGACGCTCCTACACCTCTAATAGTGTCTCCACATAAAAGAATTATTGCAAAGTTGAAAGATAGAAATTTATTTGGGAAGAACCTAGCAGACACCATCTGAATCAAATAACCAAAATCAATACCATCATTAATGGGACACAGGCACCGTGTACTCTCCCGTGGAGTATAAGGAGAAGAACACAATACATTCAACAATATTTCTATTAAAAACAAAATAATCTGAGTTGTATTATTAAACAACACATACAACACATCCAAGGTGAAGGGCCACTGTGCAAAGTGACTGCTCTGTAATCTTCAAAAAGGGAAAGATTCTGAAGGCGAAAGAAAAGACTGAGGGAATTTAAGGAAACATAATAAATGGTGCATAATGTAATCTTTTCCTATAAGGGTCTAAGGAGACAGTTAGTAAAATTTGAATGGGGATTTCTGGGTTAAGAGTATATGGAGATGAGCATGATGATGTATGCTTATAATCCAAGCACTCTGGAAGGTTGCAAGTTCAAGCCCAGCCTGAGCAATTTAGCAAGACCCTGGCATAAAATTTTTTAAATAAAAACTGAAAAACGTTTAGGATATAGAGTTCAGTGTGAGGGCCTTGACTTTTCAATACCCAATACTACCCCCCAAAAAAGGGATATGTGGACATTTTTTGTTCTATACCTGCAACTTTTCTCTCTATATATGACATTTAAATGAGTTTAGAATACAACTTGAAAAGGAATATGTGCTCTTTTGTGTTTTGCTTGAGAGTACTTTCAATAGGATACTGTTTGTGAATATGGAGAGGGGGTTGTTTTGGTGCTAGAGATGGAACTCAGAACCTTGTACATGCTAAGCACATGCTCCATCACTGAATTGTACCCCTTCCCAAGATATCATTCTTTTTTAAAAAAAATTAATTTTATTGGTACATTTTAGGTATACAATATAATGACATTCATCATTGGACATTCATTAGTACCTTTATGTAGTCTATCTTGGTTCTTATTTTTTTCCCCATTCCTCTGCCCCCCTTCACTATTCTTTTTTTTTTTTTTGGTACTGGAGATCAAACCCAGGTCCCTGAGCTTGCGCAGCATGCAGTGAAACCACTAAGCTAAATCCCTGGCCCGCCTTCACTACTCTTAACCTGCACCTTGAATATTATTTGCATCACCCCCTAAAAATCAATGCAAAAGTGGGTAGAATTTTCTCAATTTTAAGTTTCTCTCCATCTCTCCTTTCTCTCTCAACTTTGACACCTGGCTCCTATTTGCCAGCTACTAAACTTTGGAAGATGATGCAAAATAACAGGTACAGGAAAATAAAGAAATAACTCAATCAAACTTAGTCTAACAGGGAATCACATGTTCTTGTGGTTGTTATTTTTATTCTCTGGCTGGTAAAAATTTCCCTTGCTTCTACAGTTAAATGCAAAGATGATGGAAGATAAGCTGTACAATTAATAAATTAGATATTAGTCCTGAGTTCTTTGCTGGTTGAATGTGTCTGAGAATGATAAAATTTACCCAGAACTCTTCCAAAAATGTACATGAAAGCCTTTTGGGAAGATGAGATGAAATTATATCATTCAACTATTTCCATCTTCCAGTTTGTGATACATTGTTCTGTATAACTTTAGCACCATGTAGTGGACCTGTTGACTGACTTATCTTCCATTCCAAATTCTTCAACTCATACTCAAAGACTAACCTAGAATAATAACTGAGAAACTAGCTGGTAATTGAGATTGAATGATATTTAAAAGACACATTTAGATTTACCATTGAAATTTAATTTGGCAGGGCAAATAGAAAAACCATTCAGAAAAAAATCCAAGGAATTTTGGCAAACCATATACAGTTATTTTCTATTGTTGGGGTTTATACTCACCAGTAAAGATTACCAACCTTGGATTTAATGTTACACCTATTATGTTACATTTATCAGTATAATAAGAGTACATAGACATACAGACACTCAGATTGAAAAACATACAGAAACAATTTCTCCCCAAGAAATATGAAGCCTGATGCTTGAAATTCTTAATAACTTAATCATTTCCTACCCTTCTTGTAAATTAAATTATAGAAACCTGGACTCAAAGTCCAAAGTTTTGTATTCCCGAAACGACATTGCTTAACATGTTTGAAATCTTTCTTATTTACTTCACAAGCAGAGACTTTAATCAAGTCGTTAAATATTTAGCAATAGTTTAGATTTTTTTTAAAAAATGCTTTTAATGTTGTCTTTCTCTGGATTTGGATTCTAGCCAATATCCACCAACAAGGCTTCAGGGGAAAGATGCAAGTGCCTGTGCTCCTACAATAATAAAACCTATCAGGAGCTGTGTACACATTTGCAAAGGGGATAAGGAAGCATCTTCTAAGGTTAGGGGGTGTATGTACAGTCACCCTAGGTCAGTACTGAAACATCTTTGTGCAGATGCAGAGATTCTCTGCTGATAAATACCTTTTATCGTGAAAAAGCTAATTATATACATAATGCATTTTCTATCTATGTCTAGGGCAGTTATTCTTAACCTTGGCTGCACATTAGAATCTCCCAATTCTTTTTTTAAAAGACCATTCTTGGGGCACTAGTCAAGAATAATTGAAACAATTTCTGGGAGACTACTTTCTGTATTTTCTGCATTCTACAACTCCTGATCTCTTTTGAATTACCTTCTACATTCATCAATGCATTTATTCATTTACACACACTTAAACCCTTACTTTATGACTTTTTTTTTTTTTTGGTGCCAGGGATCAAACTCGGCTCCTTGCGCTTGCGCAGCAGGCGCGAAACCACTGAGCTAAATCCCCAACCCCTTACTTTATGATTAATAGGTGAATTTTAGAAATAAACAAGACTTCACTACTGCCTATGAGGAGTTCACAGTTTACAAAAACCTATAGTACAATGCTACAAATAAAATACACAATAAAACAAACCATATTGTACCTGAGTTTCCCAGCTTGTACAGATATAAGAGTAAGAATGAAGATACCCTATGTAGTTGCCAAAGTAAG